CCAGGCCACCAACCGGCGGCTCGCGAGCCACATGCGGCTCTTTGACCCCTTGAGTGTGGCTCTTCCACAAAATCCCATGTGCAGGTGTGCATGTACAGTGCGATTGAAACTTCGTGGCCCATGCGCAGAAGTTGGTATTTTGTGGAAGAGCCACACTCAAGGGGCCAAAGAGCCGCATGTGGCTCGCAAGCCACAGTTTGCCGACCACTGTCCTAGTCCAAGGAGCTCTCCACCAGACCCTGAACTGGATCCTTCCCTTCCAACTCGGCTTTTGCCTCTTGCCCTTGTCCTCTTTGTCTCCATATCAGCGATTTTCATCTCCAGGCACAAACAAACTAATCACTAAAATTCTGCAGCACACCAAAAATATATGTTTTGCTAATCTGACAAAAAAAAAAAAGGAGGTATAATTTTGATTCATTCACATTGGTTGGCTATTGTTATGTTGGCTGTTGTCATTTTTTTAATTTGACAATCCAAGGGAAAAGATATCAGTGCCTGACTAAATAGCCAGGTACTGCATGTTCTAAAAATTCTTGTGGCACCTCGGTTGAAAATCACTGCTCCATATTCCTACACTATGCTTGTCATTGTTCTTATCTGGTTTCCAAGCATCAAATTTGGAAGGCCCTACAGCAGTGGTTCTCAACCTTCTTAATGCCGCGACCCTTTAGTACAGTTCCTCATGTTGTGGTGACCCCAATTTCATTGTTACAAATTGAACATAATTAAAGCATAGTGATTAATCACAAAAACAATATGTAATTATTTATGTGTTTTCCGATGGTCTTAGGCGACCCCTGTGATAGGGTCGTTTGACCCCCAAAGGGGTCGCAACCCACAGGTTGAGAACCGCTGCCCTAGAGGAACTTCTGTAGACACCCTATGACAGCAGTGAGAAGTGATAATTGAGAAGGGAAGAGAAGACTGTAAAAAAAAAAACCCAAAAACTCAGGAACATAAAATTCTGCATATAAAGGGTGTCCCAGAAAATGTATACACACTTTAACAGCAAATAGCTCAATTTTCAAAGTGAAATCTATTTTAATAAACACTGCCTTTATAATTATTCAAAGTGTATGTATGCATTGGGGGGGGGGCAGTGCATGAAATTTGTGCATGGGGAGGTGTCCCTCAGCCCAGCCTGCACCCTCCCCAATCTGGGACCCCTCAGGGGATGTCCGACTGCCAGTTTAGGCCCGATCCCTGTGGGACAGCCCTCTCACAAGCTGGGACTGCTGGCTCCTAGCCACTCACCTGCCTGATTGCCCCCAACTGCCCTCCCCTGTAGGCCTGTTGCCCCCGCCCCCAAGAGCCCTTCCCTGCCTTCAGTCTGCAGGCCGACGCTCTAACCACTGAGCCAAACTGGTCAGGGCTAGACTGAAAATCTTAAAATATAATAACATAATTACTAGAATTTTCTGTAAATGTAAATAAACTTCTTTTAGACTTACTGAGAAATGTCTCATAAGTAAATTCTATAAGTTACAATATGTGAGAATATTATATTCTCACTCTAATTATAACTTTGTACAATAATAAATATTCTTTTTTAATAATTAACCTCTATACTTTTAAAAAATATGTTTTTATTGATTTCAGAGAGAGGCAGGGAGAGTAAGAAAGAGATATAAATATCATGTTGGCTATTGTGAATAGTGCTGAAGTGAACATGGAAGTACTAATACTTCTTTGAGATACTGATTTCAATTCTTTAGGCTAAATACCCAGCAGTAGGATTCCTAGAGTCTATGGCAGTTCTATTTTTAATTTTTTGAGGAACCACCATACTGTTTTCCATTTTGTATTTCCACCAGTAATGCCCAGGGTTTCAATTTTTCTACATCCTCGCCAGCACTGTTATCTTAAATTTTTTTTTTCAATAGTAGCCATTTTAACAGGGGTAAGGTGATATCACACTGTGGTTTTTATTTGCATTTCCCTGGTTGGTAGTGATGTTGAGTGTCTTCATATGCTTATTGGCCATTTGTATGTATTCTTTGGAGAAATGTCTATTCAAGTCTTTCGC